TGCCTGTCGGTTCCCCCTCTTACACACACACACCCACACACGCCCACTGTCGTGCGTGGAGCATCGCGAGAGGAATAATTTTTCAGCTCTCAGGAAGCACGCTCAAGATTCAAGTGGAGTTTGTCAGAGCGCTCTGTGTGTGTGTGTGTGTGTGTGTGTGTGTGTGTGTGTCTTGTTTAAGCGTCAGTTTACCAATGTTGGGGAAGTTACTTTGAAACTGCAAAGCTACGAGCTGCTCATACTTGAGCTACAGTTGAGCTACCCTTTTGAAAATATAGTTGGCAACATTGCAAGTTACTAGTGAAAAGGTTAGCTAACAACGTTAAAGCTACATGCAGTATGTGACTGCATGTAGCAGTGAACAAGCAGTGTTTTTCATCTGGCACACATGACCTGTCTAAAATATTTAAATTAATTTTCATTTGGAGCTGAATAATGTCATGCCATGTAATGTGCCAAAAACAGCTGCAGTGCAACTTGTCGGAAAAGTGGGCAAGAGTTGTCTAAAATTGGCAGTTATAATCTGATTGGCTGATTGGCCTGCTACCCCAGGATGCATGTTTCACCGCCCACTTGGAAACCAAGTCCCGTTTGCTGTCAAAATAAGCTCTTCTGAGGAAGTCTAAGTTTGTCTGCAAGTACGCTTTCTGATGTCAGGTTTGCCCACTCCTAAATATGGTGTAACAAACGAACTGCCCTTTTTATGCCTAGCTCAGTAAAACTACTGTGAAAGCGGAGTTATTTTTAAGGTAGCTGCGTTAGTTGCTTTGTGTAGTTGCCTGCTCAACCAAAATGAATACCACACATTATCAAACTCATCCACTTAAGCTGCAAAACATTGTTTGCTCATTTTAATTTTGACATTTTTTATTTGTTCATTGCGTTTTAGATTTGACTGAACAACATCATGTTATGTAGTGTTAAGTGTCCAGCAGGGTGCGCTGCTCTCACTGCCCTCCTCCATTTGCAGGATGATCCAGGAGCCGCCCCTGCCACCGGGCTGGGAGATGAAGTACACGGCAGAGGGGGTGCGATACTTTGTGGACCACAATTCTCACACCACCACCTTTAAAGACCCTCGGCCAGGCTTTGAGTCGGGGTAAACACTATCACACGCTATAGCTCAGATTGCATGCTTTGATTGTATGTGAAGGCAGGAGCTGTTCATTCACTGCAAACAGAGGAACAGACAGATGCAGTAGATCAAGAACCTGATGGTAATGGGGATCCACGGCAACTCTCCAGTTTGTGGAGGGTTCAAACCCACTAGGGACAGCAGATGTTTGATGCAGTGTAGGTGTATGACACATGCTAAAGTTTAAAATTCATATATATAATCTATATGTGCACTACCTGTCATTGTTCCTCCTATGATTTTAGATGTTTTTTGAAAGAAGTCTTTTATGCACACAATGGCTGCATTTATTTGATCAAAAACAAACAAACAAAAAAAGTATAATTTGTGAAATATTATTACAATTTAAAATAGCTGTGAATATATTGTAAAATGTAATATATTGCTGTAATCAAAGCTAAATTTTCAACATCAGATTCGTTCTAATACTCTGATTTGGTGCTAATTTATTATGAATTATTATTGGTGCTCTGTTATTAATAATTGTTCTCATTAGTATCAATGTTAAAACATTTTTGCTGCTTAATGTTTTTGTGGAGACTGTTTTTTTTTTTTCAGATGAATATAAATTTAAAAAGAACAGCATTTATTTGAAATCTTTTGTAACATAATAAATGTCTTTACTGTCACTTTTAATCAATTTCATATGCCCTTGCTGAATAAAAGTATTCTTTTCTTTTTTTATCTTACCTCAAACGGTTTCCACAAAATATTATTCAGCGAAAACTGTTTTCAACATTGATAATAATCAGAAATGTTTCTTGAGCAGCAAATCAGCATATCAGAATGATTTCTGAAGGATCATGTGACACTGAAGACTGGAGTAATTATGCTGAAAATTCAGCTTTGATCACAGGAATCAATTATTTTTAAATAAAGTATTTATTTTTGAATTGTAAGAACATTTTACAATATTACTGATTGTACTGTATTTTTGATCAAATTAATGCGTAAGCAAAAGCAGAACAGAAGGGACTTTTTCAAAAACATTAAATAATCTTAATTATTCCAAACTTTTGACTGGTAATGTATAATTTGTTTATACTGTATGTCCTCATACAGAATATTAGTGTTATTTTTTTCTTTCTTTGTTTCTCTCAAAATCTCCTTTGTGTCTTTCATGCATCTTTTTGTTGTCTTAAATGCTTCATTCCTCAGATTTTCCCTCTCTCTAAAGTGGAGTGACCTGTCTTGTGCTTGTTAACACAGCTGTGCAGCTCAACACAAGACACCCTGTAAATTACAATGCTTTCTCTGATCTGCATCGCACACTCTGTCTTCAGTGATGTGTCACTTTGACCTGTTTCTGGAAGTTGTGTCATGGCTGACTTTATTCTGCCATTTGTCCTGTTTTCATTGCTCATGTCCGGGGGAGAGCTTATGTTGACCTGACGTCTGAGTCAGCATCTGAAGCGCCACACTCATGGAATAAATGACATCAGGATGTTCTCATAGTGCTTTGGCTTTATTTTCTTTGTCTTCCTGTTTAGCTCAAGACAGGGTGGCTCTCCGGGTGCGTACGACCGCAGCTTCAGGTGGAAATATCACCAGTTCCGCTTCTTGTGTCATGTGAGTTGTTCAGGTCTTGAGCTAGCGCAGCATTTTTGTGATTTAGCATCAACAAATTAAAGTATGTTCTCCTAATTTTTGTCTTTTTATGCAGTCCAACGCGCTGCCCAGTCATGTGAAGATCTCCGTATCCCGACAGACTCTATTTGAGGACTCATTTCAGCAGGTGAGTATACTATACCAGTTCAATACGGATGCGGTGTAGGGCTGCTCAACTTTGTCTGTTGACGTTTCCATTATAATCACCAAAGCTGTCTTACCAATGTTATTTAAAGGAAAATTAGCAAACAATATTTATCTTTAATTTATATTCATAATATATTATCAGCATTATTTAAAGCAATAAGCCCCAAGAAGCCGTGGTTTACAGTGAATTTATAACAGCTAAGGGGCGTTGTTAGGTACGACGCGAAGCCAAGTGACTAAAACCCCCTTAGCTGTTATAAATTCACTGTAAACCATGGCTTCACGGGGCTAATTGCTTTTATAAAACGGTTATTCCATATACATAGTATGGTTTCACAAAATAAAACAGAGCAAATAAAGTGTAATGATATTAATAAAAACAGTATTCTTCCACCAAACAATGTAGTTCCTCAGAAACAGTTGTGGTTGCAACAAAGTGGTTGCCAAGCAACACACAGAAGTAAACAAAGGTGTATGTTTGTAGAGTAATTTACAACAGCTTCATAACGTGGCTCAGCCAATCAGAATCAAGGACCGGAACTATCCGTTATATAAAATTATATTACTAATGACAAACCAAATTGATCTCCAAATTATGGATGTCTTAATTCAAGGCCAGTTCATAACAAGGATGATAACTATAATGGCAATGATAACTGTGAATTTTTAATAATCATTCTAATTTTATAAGATCAGGGAAGTCCACATCACAACTATAACAATATCATTAGAATCACTTTCAAAGCATTTATATCCAGCAGATGAATTAGAAAAACATTGACAGCCAATCAGAATCCACATGACTTTAAAGAGATTGAGCATTCAAAGCGGCAGATGACAAAACTGCACTGCGCGCTTAGAATAAACAATGTTATTGTCCACTGGTGTGGATGCTAATATAGTTGTAGTTAAAGTTATCTTTATAGTTGTCATTCTTGGTGTGATCGGGCCTTATATAATTTTAGTTTGACCTCCTGAGGTGGACAAGCAACATTTCTGAATAATATTTTCACACTTTATAATGAAAGTCCCGTGGTGTTTCCTCTCAGATCATGAACATGAAGCCCTATGACCTCCGCCGGAGGCTCTACATCATCATGAGAGGAGAGGAGGGCCTGGATTACGGAGGAATAGCCAGGCAAGATCATTATGAGCTCCTGTGGCATCTCGCTGTTCGTCATCCTCATGTTCCTGCTCGTGTGCTGAGTGTTTCTTGTTTCGGGGAGGCTGTGGTGTAACTTTGCTCGTTGGTGTCTGGACCTCGTAGTTGTCTTCCTGTGTCTGTGTCTGTCCCCTGTGTCCTGTCAGTGGTTTTACCCTATGGTAGGTTACGTCATGCTGTTCTACCACAGGGTAGAACCACGGACCGGATGTCTGGAGGTGTCTGCGTCGTCCTGTGGTGTGACAAAACCACCCCCACCCCCCTAAACCTTCTGACCTTCCAAACAGCCCTGGGGTCAAAGGGCAGGGCTTGGGTTCTGTTGTGCTGTTTATGATTTGATGTGTGTGTGTGTCTTTGTGCTGTTGAACCTGTCTTCATCTTCATCACTTTGTGGCACTTGCACTGTTTTTTACATGCTAAGTAAGCTGAAACTTCACTTTATTTCAGTTTATTACCTTTAATTCTTACTTCAATAGAATCACTGTCCATCAAATTGTGTTTCATTTGTTTTTCATTTTTAATAAGTGTTAAATTATTTGATTCCATTGTTTTGTCATAATTGTTATTTTTATTCAGTTGTTTTATTCTACAAAAGATTCATTTTATTATTTGTGGGTTTCTCTGTAAATTTGTTTTCTTTTGTTAGCTTCCCTCACAAGTGGCTCACAGAATGATGATGCCTACATATCACTTTCTTTACAAAACTAAAATTTGTAAAAAAAAAAAAAAATCACAATTTTTTTTAAGGAATGAGTTGGAGTGGATGGTGAAGGAAAAGCAGCCAAAATGTGTCCAGCATACACAGAAAGTTTATGCTTTTTAAACAATACTGTGTTTTAAAATATTCCCAGGATGCACCTCATGAAGTGGATTGAAAGAATGTACAGAGTATGTAATATGTAGAGCTGCATGTTGGCTATTTGATACGTTTTTATCACTTTACTGCTGTTCTAAAATGTGGGCGATATTATTAATTAAAATAAATAATGAGAAAGTTGTGACAATGTAAATTAAATAATTCCAAGTTGGTGTTTCCTTTGCCATTGTTCACATTATGCGAGTTGTCTATTCTTTCCCATTACTCTTATAAGTAGTTGCTTCATAAATCATTCCTAATTTATACTAATAAACTCTATTACAAATACAAAAACCATTTTGATTTGTTAGCATCCAAAGAATTCCCCAAACTATCTTTATTCTTGCGTAATTTGCGACACAGTGCATGTATGGTCATCTTTAGCTGGTATTATATTGTTAGGTTACTGATGTTATGTTTTGTATTTCTGTCTGTAGGGAGTGGTTTTTCCTGCTGTCTCATGAGGTGTTGAACCCCATGTACTGTCTGTTTGAGTATGCCGGGAAAAACAACTACTGTCTGCAGATTAACCCTGCTTCTTCCATCAACCCCGACCACCTCACCTACTTCCGCTTCATCGGCCGCTTCATTGCCATGGTGAGAACGCCATGTAGTCATGTGGACTAGTAGTTTCACTCTTAAATTAAATTAAACTCTGCTCTCTGTCAGACTGCATTTCTGGGAGCAATGTATTTCTGTGTGTGTGTGTGGTTGGGTGTGAACCTCATGGCATGAGAATGAAATCATTGTGTTTTGATAGAGTGACTGGTCTTATATTAAGATCTGGACAGTGCACAAGCAGTTCCTCTCACACCCTTTTAAGAGCAGTTAACATTCTCAAAGATATTATAGAGATTCCCTATGCTGCTGTGTTACATTTTTTTCCCTCAGCCCTTGTGTTTCTCCTGATTTGTGCCTGTTCTGAATAGACTGTGTGACTCGGGGGGACTGTGTTTTTTTTGGAGATCATTCCCAGAGCTCTGTGCTGTTACATTAAACAGTATGCTTGCCAATAACAACAAATCACATTTCTATGTGTTTTCGAAGTCTGTATATAGAGAGAGAAGAGAATTTAAGAAAAAGCAAAATAGAGTGTTAGATGATGTAACTCTAATTCACTAAACGGTTGTGCCATTTGAGTCAGCATGCAGTGTTTTTATTTGTATACCTTCAGTCCAGATAAATCTGGTGCTATATGGATAATTATATGATAAGTATAGAAAAGCTAGTCTAATGACACTTTAGGAAAGCACATAAAAATCATGACATTATTCATGATTTCTTAACTCTCCAGAGGAGAGTTTTCATGAAGGTCCATTTCATGTGCAAATTACTGTGAATTTACACACATATTTATGAACGTTTCATGATTTTAAGATTATGATCAGATGATACAATCACCAACATTTATTTTTTATGCAGATACATTCAGAAGCAAGATACAAATGTCCAGTATTAGTTTCAAAACTGTTCCAGTCAGAAATCATTATTATTTTTAATTTGTTCAGTCTGTTTAGTTTTATGTTGTTTCACAGATCACTAATGATAGTGAAGCATTTGTAAGACAATGTTATGGTTTCCTTATTGAAGGTTAAACTGTTATTGCAGCCATTTCTGTTATCATGACAAACATTTATTTATGGTGACTGTTAAAATGGGTTACAACGATACGGCAAAATTGCCCTAATGACTCTTGAAAATGGGCATGATAGAATTCAAAACATGTAATAATAATGCTTAGAATAGCCAACAATTCACCCTCCAGCCATGATGTCACACTGTAATTAAAGCACTGAGAACAGCGTATGTGTGAAATTTTGCATGCTGCAATAATAATTATAATTATAATAATAATGTTGTTCCTAAATTTAAACAGGAAATTGGATGAAAGTCAACTGTTAATTATCCATGACTGATCAGTTGATGAATCTCTAGTTGATGCATGACTTTTTTCATGGATTTGTTCTTGAAATTAATTTTAAAAGTAGAAGTATGCAATGTGGTCCCAATTAATGTGAACTCATAAAATCTGCATTCATAATAAGAATAATAATAAGACTAATAATTTTAGAATAATAATTCTAAAAGATTTAGCAAAATCCATTTTAAATTAGATTTAGAAGGCCATGTGACATTCCCAGAGGTATGGAATTAAATCAAAATGAACAGTTCTGTTTTTATGGAATGTTGCAGTGGTTATTATAAATTATTTATCCATGAACATTATTTATTATTATTATTATTTTTTAATTTTTTTTATATGTGCCCTCATGATCTTAAACAAAAACATTAATGTGCCCCTCACAACGACATCTCAGATGATGTGCATATCTGCACAAAGACTGGGCAATGAGGTTGTCTAATAATAACCATACGGGTTTTAATCCCTTCCCTTCAGTACCCTGTCATATATCATAATAGGGAAGTGCGTCCCAATTCGCATACTTATGCACTATTCTGTGCTGTTTTGTAGTGTAAATAGTGTGTTCACACTGAAAATTCCAAAAAGAAAAAGTGCACTTTAAATACCCGAATGATGCACTTAAAATAACCAAAAAAATAAAGTGTGGAATGTTGGACACTTCATGCACTCAACTGTTGCAGATTTAATTATGCAGCGGAGGGGGAGGGGCTGTCAGACTCCGGTTATGAATGACAAAATATCCTTATATAATTCAAACACTACACGGTTGAGTACATAGTAGAAGTGCATAGTGTATAGTGCGTCATTTGGGGACAGAGCTTATAACTACCATTATTTGTATTATGACCTGTGATCGGCTCTCTGCAGGCACTGTATCATGGGAAGTTCATTGACACGGGCTTCACTCTACCCTTCTACAAGCGCATGCTTAACAAGAAACCCACCCTCAAAGACCTGGAGTCCATTGACCCTGAGTTTTACAACTCCATCATGTGGGTCAAGTGAGTATCAAGACTGCAGCTCTGTTCATGAGGATGTTCTGTGACAAGCACGTGACATTCGTGCTGATGTGCTTTCACAGAGAGAATGATTTGGAAGAGTGCGGCGTGGAGCTGTACTTCGCTCAGGACATGGAGATTTTGGGCAAAGTGACGACACACCAGCTGAAGAACGATGGAGAAAATGAACTCGTCACTCAGGACAACAAGGAGGAGTATATTAGGTACAGCTGCCCTATGTTTAGATGATAACAGTTTTACTGGCCAGTTAATCAGACTCCTTTATCCAAAGAGGTGTAATAACAGGAACTCTCCTTAAAGATGAAGTGTGTATTTTTTTATGTTAGAATGCTTGTATTCTAATATACTCCTATTCTTATATACTCCTATTCCAGTTTAACATGCAACTCCACTTTAAGAGTCTGCCGACTGTTCGAGAAACCTGTTTGAAAACAGTCATTTTGCAATTCTGCTTTAACCGTTAAGCCACAATCAACCTGATCTGTTCAGCTTTTTCCTTTTTTGTGTCGTTTTAAAAAGGACTGTTCCTTTAACACAGTGATTTTAAGCTCATTTCATTCGTGTTTTTCCTGTAGTCTGCTCACTGATTGGCGCTTCACACGTGGGGTGGAGGAGCAAACGAAAGCCTTCCTGGATGGCTTCAATGAAGTTGTGCCTCTGGAGTGGTTGCGTTATTTTGATGAGAAAGAGCTAGAGGTGGGTGTTTTGGTATTTTTAGCAAGGACTTGACATAAAATGTCATTTAAAAAAAAAACCTGTCTATACAGAGACACAAACATTAGTGGCATCACTGAGGAAACAGATGTAAATAACTCTGGTTTTGGGCTCTGTGGTTAAGTTTGGACTTGTTTTAGGCGTATTGATGTTATCTTTATCAGATGGTTAATGGTGTGGGATTGTTTCTTGCTCCAGCTCATGTTGTGTGGGATGCAGGAAATTGATCTGAATGACTGGCAGAAGAGCACCATCTATCGGCATTATACCAAAAACAGCAAGCAGATCCACTGGTTCTGGCAGGTAATTCACACCTTCAGTCTCAGGTGTTTTTATGCACTCACAGCTACGCTCTTCCTCCTTTCTTTCTCTTTTTACTATATATATTTCATTATGTGTCACACAGGTGGTAAAGGAAATGGACAATGAGAAGAGAATTCGCCTGCTGCAGTTCGTCACAGGAACTTGTCGCCTGCCGGTTGGAGGCTTTGCAGAACTGATAGGTAGAGTTATAATATCAGTTATGTACCACAGACACAACAGACTCATGTGTCGTACAGTACAAAATGAAATCAGTGCATGCTATCAAGATGTCAGATATGTAGCATTTCATGCTTGCTGCTTTGGCTTTGTATTATATAGCCTATATTTTTTATATTTTTTATTTTATATTATATATTAATCACTCAGTGGTTTACAGAAGGAGGATTTGCAGCTTTGAGATCAATAAACTTAATACAAATGAAAGGATAAGCTTGATATATTTTTGGACTTTTGAGTCTGTGAAAGGAGGTCAAACTAAATATCATATGAACTAAATATAGTTTGGTTTGAAGTAAATGATAAAATTAAAGAAAAACAACAACTATTTGTTTGATCATCTTTTTCTTACAGTACATTGGGGAACACTAAATGTGTGTAAAAATTGAGAAAATGCAGTGAGTCTTCACACCATGCAGCTTTGAGCTCTTTACATATGACCCGAGTTCTGTCCTCATTGTACATATTCAATGTTGAAAAGTGTAAATAGATTTAATAGTTCATCTTTTTATGATCTTGTTGTTTAGGAAGTAACGGGCCACAAAAATTCTGCATAGACAAAGTGGGGAAGGAAACCTGGCTGCCTAGAAGTCACACCTGGTGAGACTCTAAATCTGGAAGACAATACGAAAGAACTGTTTTCACAGAAGTGTTTTTGTGCTTATTTGTCCCTCCTGCCTTACAATTTCAGCTTTAATCGTCTGGATCTGCCGCCCTATAAGAACGTGGAGCAGCTCCGAGAAAAACTTCTGTTCGCTATCGAGGAAACTGAGGGATTCGGACAAGAGTGACGAGACTGATTATATCTCGGCATGCGAAGGACAGGACCGACACAATAATTAACCAGTTTCTTTTGAAAAGGCCATTAATGTGGACTGAATGAACAGACTTACAGTCTGTCAGATTTACAGTTCAATCACTAGTTTACCTAAAAATGAAAACTTATTTTATTCACCCTCACGTCATTCCAAACCGATATGCTGTTATTTTTCTGTGCAGCACAAAAGAAGAGTTTGGAGGAATTGATTGCTATGATTTGTTGTTTTACAGAAAAGAGCTGCGTGACGATTCTTCAAACTTCAACGTTTGTGTTCCATAGAATAAATAACAGCATGCTCATACGTAATGTCATGAGGATGAGCAAACAACAGCTTCATTTTTGGGTTAACTATACTTTTAAACAGCAGAGCGAAGACGCTGATGGACCAGCAGCAGATAAATGATTTGTCTGAATGTAATATTTCATTTGGTCACTTCAGGGAATGATGATTTCACCTTACATTTCTATGCAGATAAAACAGTGCAAATTATGAAACACTTCACAGCATAATGTCATTAACCAGATTTGTAAGTCAAATTAAAATGAATTCCCTGAACTGCCTAAATCAAAATGTAATCAATCCTGATTTTCCAGTGTGAGGTGAAATTCTCAAACTCACTGCTTATAATTCAGAATTATTACTACTACTAATAAAATAAACCACAGCGAATCTTCAGTTGCAGATGTCATGGACCGCAGAGATGGGGCTCACGTGTCATATCAGTGTGTGTATATGGACTAGAAGACCACTGAGATAGAAAATAATTGTTTTAAAGAGATTGATCAGACATGATTTCATTATTTTGTGACATGCCATGCTACACTGTATATAGATTCAATAAAATCCAGTCATGGACTGTAAACATAATCTGTGGCAGAAAAATGATGAATGATGATGTTGACAGGTAATAGGGTGGTTCTTTAATTAATCGTTTAATAGTTTAAAAATCACGTTCAGTTTATTTGGTATTTTTTATAACAAGCCATTGCTGTCCCTAATGCTGCTGTCATTACTACCATCTCAACAAGCAATTACATTTATAATTAAGTTTATTTTCAAGTTTATATTTAATTATAATGGAAATGAGAAGACTGAGCACATTTCTGCTTATGCAGCAGAGTGACCGTTTGAAGATATGAAATTTGCTGTATTTACCATAAGTTGTGATTTCCATAATTACTAAAGGACAATCGACTCTGAACTCTAACGTCCTCAGATTTGGAATTATGTGTTTCTATGGCAACACTATAAACACGGAAATGAATCCGTGTAATTTGAGTAATTAATTGACTTTAAATAATAGTAATAAATATAATTTTTAGAATGCCATAGAATTCCAGCATGGCATGAATGCACCTTTTAGGATTTCTACTTTCTACTCTGAGCAACTTTATTGGGTGGCACTACCAAAATGATCAGTAGATCAAAATAAATAAAATAAAATCATGCATTATTCCAATGTTAATTTGAAGGCTGATAAAGGCCATTATCTTTACCACTATATTTTGTTTTTAGACATGATAAATGTTTTAACACTTGAAATATCATTTGAAAATTTTTTTTTTTAAGATTTTGATCAGAAGTACCCTTATTTTCAATTTCAGGTTAAATATTCAACTGCTGACTTTCGGAGCAGCAATCTGTAATGACGAAGTGCTTATGATGAAATTCAGGATTTTAGCTCATTATACAGCACATTTTTTTATATAGCACAATTTATGTTCAGCTCAACAAAATATGTTCAGCAAATGTTGTTTTGTGGAGAAAAACTTGCTCATAAACCATAATGATAACCGTAATGTGAATGAATCACTCTTTTGATCATTCTCAGCTTCACGGAGGGACATGGCCCACCCTACCATCCACCTGTTACCCCAACTGTCCAGTCCAGTCGTGTGGCCCACTTTTCTTAGATCTGAAAATGTATTTGTGAATCAGTATGAATGAACGATGCATTTATATAGCGCTTGTGTATTGTGTATTGCTGTACACCCAAAGCGCTTAACAATCATGTGGGGTGGTGGGGTGGGGGGGGATCTCTCCTCGTCCACCACCAGTGTGCAGCATTCACCTGGATGATGCGACGGCAGCCACAGGACAACGACACCAGTGCGCTCACCACACACCAGCTACAGGTGGAGAGGAGAGAGAGTCATAGAGCCAATCAAGTAGTTGGGGATTATTAGGAGGCCATGATAGACAAGGGCCAGGGGGGCAATTTGGCCAGGACACCGGGGATACACCCCTACTCTTTACGAGAAGTGCCATGGGATTTTTAATGACCACAGAGAGTCAGGACCTCGGTTTAACGTCTCATCCGAAGGACGGTGCTTGTTGAGAGTATAGTGTCCCCATCACTACACTGGGGTGTTAGGACCCTCCCTGCTTAGCTTCAGTGGGTAACCAGTCTTGGGCTGCAGGGTGATATGGCTGTGGTATGAAATATGAATTTGAATGTTCACAAAAAAATCTTTATTCAGTAATCACAAACAGCTAGAAGCCATCATGGAAATTAATAGGTCAAAAAAATGTGGGAAGCCCTTTTTTTTTTTTTTTTTTTGTATAACTGAGCTGTCTGTTCATTCAGTGTTGTTAGACATGAAGGCATTTCAGCCACTGGGACCCCAATGAAACATGCAATAAATGCCCCCTCACTGTGTGTGCTCGGGCGCCGACTCGAGTGCACTCAGAAATTCAGAAGGGTGGTGCGATACAGAGGAAGGACCAAACCTGTTTTAAGTAAGATGACAGGGTCTCTGTATTAAAGAAGGGGGCTCTGGCCTTTACCACCTCCCTCAGGGGGACAAATGCATCAAATCTTAAGAGTAAAGAACTGTGTAATATTTAAATAAAAAAACTGAATTGCAGTCCAATTTATAAATTTGATGTTAGCTGGCAGAACTATGTCCTGACAGCTCTTTATCCTCAATATATAGTTATTTTACACAAATTAGCCTGTGGATATTCTAATATTTATATACCATTTATGTAAAGTGCAAAAAATCTTTTACATTTCCATGCTCACTTGATTAATAGCTTAAGTCAACAAGTTCGAACCTCAAAAGTGTTCACAGACGCAACATAGAATATAGCCATATGGAACCAGAGCTGGGTAGATTACTTACAAATTGTAGTCTGTTACTGATTACTAATTACATGATGAAAACTGTAGCTGGTAACGTAATCTGGGTTATTCATTTTAGCTAATGTAATCTGACTACTTTTTAGATTACTTTTAGATTTACTTTATCAACCTTGTTTTAAATTTACCATTAAACGTGCCATATTGCTATAAAAAGGCAAAGAGAGTGAAAATGTATTCCATTTTTTTATATCAACATCATAACATGCATTAAACATTACATTACACCAGGGTTTCCCAAACTGGGCTTAATGTAAGAACTGCAGTAGATTTGTGAGTTGATAAAAAGCTAATAGTTAATTAAATCATGAAAATGTAAAATAAATATAAACACTTGAACACTAAACATAGGTTTACATATTTTATTTGTTTACCTGCATGTCATGCATGTGACCAACCAACATGAGAGAACTGTAACCATGCGAATATCTTGTTAAATCATTTGAAATATTAACTTTCTCAGAGATATTTCAAGTAAGTATTTTTATTTCAAGGGGTTTGCTATAAATCACCAGTGTTTAGTAACTTGCATAATTATTTTTTTCGTACATGGTCTAATTGCTTGAGAGGCGCTTTTCCCCTCAAATTCAAAAGCATGGTTTGCTCATTTATTTACATGGCATTTGTGCATACAGTCAAAGCTGACACAGTAGGGTTTTTAGAAAGGAATGAAAAAAAAAAAGAATCAATAAATTATGAAAAATGTACTGCCATTGTGTGGCAATCATGTAATCCATAAAAAGTAACTAATCTGACCGTAAACATTTTACAGTGTAACGTACTGTAATTACAAGTACTTAATTTTTGGAATCTGATTACGTAATCCAGATTAAATGGACTACCCAGTTACTACCCAGCACTGTATGAAACTGTATTGCCGATAAAATAATCATACATAACATATCTTAGCACATTTGTGAGAGACATTTGTTTAGGGAACTTCACATGTGTGTTTGTTGTTTGTGCAAATTAATTTGACTGAAATTGTAATATAAGATTCAAATGAGTTTTACTTTCAAGATTTGTAGAAACGTTGTGCTGTAATGATGCGCCCTCTATCGAGCGTGTATGGGGACTTTTATTTTGAAATCCATATTCTACTCCTCCTGCTTTGGGCGCAAGACTTCTGCCAAAGACACGAGAAAGCACAAGAAAAGCACATTTATGACCCAATGCGTTTATATTTGAATCCGTAACTCGCAAGAGCGTTTAACCAGGTTATGAAAGTGTGAGTATATTAATTATGCGTTAATGTAAAAACACATGGTCTCATCGTAAATGTCTACTGTTCATGCATAACAACCACAACAGATCATGTGGAGTCCTGATGAAATAGCCAGCTTGTGTTATAATCACTTCAATAAACTGCCTAAAAGAGGAAAGCCAGAGGCGGGCAGAGAGTGGACTCTGCTGGCTGCTGTGATTCTACTGACTGACAGTTCAGAGCTGAAGACAGGTTAGAAACACTGATCAACTAAGATCATCTCATTAACATGATGATATAAAAACTTCAAAATGGCCTGTTTGATCACAGTTCGCAAGCAGGTTGTGTCGTTGGGGACCGGCACCAAATGCATCAGCCAGTCTGCCATGAGTACGAAGGGTAAATGTAACAATTGCTAAACAATTGCTCAAATTCAAACCTAAATGTGCAACCCCATATATATTTTTTTTATTGTGATGATTTGCAGGTGACATTCTGAATGACAGTCATGCTGAGGTTATTGCTCGGAGGGGATGTGTCAGGTAATTTATTTCATGTGTGACATTGGAATTTCATTGCATTATAAGTGATGCATTCACAAACAAAACCCCAACCATGCCTGAGATCCTGCTTTACAGTTCTTTATAGTTTACACATGCACACTGTAAACGTGTCTTGTGGGCATATTTGCATGATGGATTTATGTTTACCAATCTATATTTGTCTATGGATTTCATATTTGTCAGGAAGATGTTATGTCCTGTTACCTGTGTTCTAGATGGCTGAAGTGTAATATATGGCTTGCTCTGAACATTTTACAAATCATTCCTAACATTCTCGCTTTCAACAAGATTTGCATTTCTTTTTCTTTCTTTCTTTCTTTCTTTCTTTCTTTCTTTCTTTCTTTCTTTCTTTCTTTCTTTCTTTCTTTCTTTCTTTCTTTCTTTCTTTCTTTCTTTCTTTCTTTGCATTTCTTTTTCTTTCTTTCTTTCTTTCTTTCTTTCTTTCTTTCTTTCTTTCTTTCTTTCTTTGTGTAAAATGTTACGACTTGTTTTCAGAGCATTTCATTGTTATTACTCCAGTGACATTTTAAATCAATCTTTTGATAGTCAATTCATTATATAAGTTAAGTCTTATTATCTTATACAGTATTGAATGTCTCAAGTTTTACATATATTTTTTTATTTATAAACCAAGCATGAATGCATATTTCATTTCATACAACAGTACTTTGAAATCAATAACAATATTCTAATGTGAGTTGTAAAAAAACATCATTTGTTAAGTCAAAAAAGGATTTAAGAGGAATAACAGAATTGAATTTAGTGATGTGTTTTTGAGTCTTTGCTCAGCCATCGCAATGTTTTACATCCTCAGGTATCTGACGGAGCAGCTGTTCAGGGCCGTAAGTGGCCAGAGCTCTGATGTTTTCTGTCCTGGGTCTGAAGAGGGAAAATGGACAGTTAAACCGGGAGT